GAGAACAAATGACACCGCCGCAACCCGAGCCGCACTGCGGCAGCCGCTCCGCTTCCGGCAACAACAAGTCCGGCCCCGCCCCCAGAAGCCAGGCCCCGCCCTCCGGCCCGGAGGCCACGCCCCCACCGCGCCCAAGAGGCCAGGCCGGACAAGTAAGGGTCAGACGCGGGGTTTTTCTTGTTCTTCATTTATTCATTTATTCAATTAGTTGAAAACACCTCGAACTAAGGAAGCAGGGAGCCCATAACCTTGTGGAGAAACAGTTGGAATTAACATCTCAAGGATAGTCATGGTCAGACCCAAGTCCACAGATTCCTGACCCCTAAAATGGCACACTCGCCAGCAGCTGAGTGCCAGACACAGTGCTAGGTGCTTTAGGTTGGGTAACCAACCACCGGAAACACACTGGGCCTCATATCCACACACGCACAGCCCTACCTCGGGACATCCTGGATTAAGGCTTTCTTCACAAAGGTTAAGTCAACCCTTTGCCTCCTTAGAGAAGGACGGAAATCAAGGCATTATTTAGAGGCTTTTCTGCAGTCCATTCTGCAGGAATCAGTAGTGGGTAGTCCCTCCAACATCCAAGTGTCCAGGGACCAGCAGCTTCCTGAAGCTCACCCACCCATACTGGCCTTTCTCCTGCTACTGAGGCAAGCCTGGGCTACAGACGTGGAGTCTCGATTTCTGCATACATGCCAGTGGTGAGGCATGGCCTTCAGGAGCTCATGTGGCATTTTAACTGCACCATGAAGGTTCCAAACTCAGTAGAATTCAGTGTCCACACATAACGCACAAGAACAGGAGTCAGCAGTGTCAACCAAGTCCGCAAAGGAGAGAATACGAAAGCTAGAGTGCCAAATGTCACATGAATAAAGTAGCAGGAACAGACCTGCCAGAGATACAGCAGTAGCATAAGTAGGTGAACAGGTATGATTTTCAAGTATTTTCCTTGATGGAGATGAGACCTGAAGTTGTGACCAAAGCACCGCTGCAACAAGCTCCAACACAGGTAAACCATCAAGGGGATGTTAAAAAATACCAGCTGGAAAAAAGGAGAACAGAATCATTAGCTTATCACCGAGCCCTTGGAAAAGTCAGGTCTCAAAACACCAGTGTTTCCTAAGAATATGCTGCCTTCTGTCTTGGGGTGAACTGTCTGATTTTTATGCTGTGATCACACTTGCTTATAACACAACAATTGACTTGAGTTTGTTATTTATTTGCCCATGTCATGTTCTTCTTAAATGTAGGAATCATTTAATTTATGATAAAGCCCCAACTTGTAGCCCAGTATTGTACACACAGAAGATACCCAACAGTGTTTAAGTTGGAACTGGGTGTTTTTTGGCAGAGTGGGATATCCACCTTTACAACTTGAACATTTTTTTTTTGCATGCTTGTTTCAGGTAGCATGGCAAGTACTAGAATATAAATCAGAAGATCTAAATTGTAATCCAAGTTTAGCTGCTGTTTGAGTCACTCAACAAGTATTTATTGAGTACCCATTATGCAACTGGCAAGGCTAAGCTCTAGGTTAGGGACAATGGTAAATAAGCAGAAGAGATCCATCATAGAACTTATGTTCTAACAAGAAAAGAAATTAAAAAAGAAAAAAAGCAAAAACGTTAAGTTGAATAAGGGAAATAACTGGGTCATAAGAGAGTAACTGGGAAATGGAATCTCTAAGACCTTAAGAACAGGAATGAGTTAGTGAAGGGAAGTATTAATATAGTCTAGGCAGAAGGAACGAATGAAAAGCCCAGATGTGGGAGAGGTCTTAATCTCTTTCATGCAATATGCCTGAAACATGGTGAGCAAGGAGGAAATTGGAGCAGTCACCTGGATCGTGTCACTGTTCTGCTTGGGCCAGCAGATGGCATGGTGATTAAGGTGCTGGATTCCCATACAGTTGACTGTGGTTTGAGGCCCAGACATGGCAGCTTGAAAATTATGTTAGATGCATGTTCATGCATATCCAGAATCCCAAGAGGAGAAGGGACTGTGGCATTACCATTGCCCCCCAGGGGGATGATTTCTCATTTTCCCTCTCTCTGTATTTCTCTGGAGAGCACAAGTATCCTATGGCAAAAAATGAAAAAAAAAAAAAAAAAAGAAAAAGAAGAAAAGGCTTCAAGCTGAGAAATAAGTGAGCTGGTGAGCTGAATAAAGTTTTAAAAGAACATTGGTGGGGGGCAGCAGGTGGCGTGATGGTTAAAGGCGCTGGACTCCCACTTGGCTGACTGGTTTGAGTCCTGAACCTGACAGGTTGTTTTCTCACTCTCCCTCTCTGTCTCTAGTTAAAAATAAAGTTAGGGACCAGCAGTTAGTGTAATGGCTATGTCGCTGGACTCCCACGTAGTTGACTGCAGTTCATGTCCTGGACCCGGTGGCTTAAAACTCATGCAGGGCATGTGTGCTTGCGTGCCCAAAATCCCGAGAGGAGAATGGAGGAGATAGGATTGTGGCGTGGCCATCCCTTCCGGGGAGTGATTTCTCGCTTTCTGTCTCTATGTCTCTCTCTGCCTGGCAAGCGCACGCGCCCTATAGCAAAACCCTCTCCAGATAATAATAATAAACAAAGTTAAATATAACGATTCTCTAAAAAGAAATAATAATAAGGACATAGGGGTCCAGCAGTTGGTGGTTAAGTGCTGGATCCTGCATGGCCAACAGTGCGATTCAAGTCTCAGCTCCACTGGCTTAAAAAATCATGCTGGGTACATGTGCACGCATGCCCCAAATCCTCAGAGTAGAATGAAGAAGGTGTGGCCATCATCCCAAGAAGTGATTTCTCACTTCCCTCTCTCTGGTGAGTGCACGCACCCTATGGTAAAAATCTTAAAAAACAAAAACAAAAACAATGAAACAACCAACCAAAACTTCTTTTACTTCATAAACCCTGCATGTCAAAAAATGTACTTTATGGGGCCAGCAGATGGTGTTGGTCAAGGTGTTGTATTCCCACATGGCTGATGTGGTCTGTGTCCCAGACCTGGTGGCTTGCTTTCTCATTCCCCTTGCCCTCCCCCCTTGGTCAAAAAAAGAGAAAAGATAATAATAATGACAAATAAAATTAAATAAATTTATCTTTAAAAAAATGTATTTTAGATATTTACACAAAAATGGTAAAAGAAAGACTTTAGGAACTATTTAAAAGCAAACAACTATCAGTTATTAAAGACAGCCCTTCAGGGCTGGCAGGTGGCATGGAAGTTAGGGTACTGGATACCACATGGCCAACTTTGTGGTTCGAATTCCAGATCTGGCGGCTGAGAATCACACTGGGCATATATGCCTGTGTGTCTAAAATCCAGAGAGAAGGAGAAAGAATTATGGAGCGGTCATCCCCCCTGGGAGGGTGATTTCTCACTTTCTCTCTCTCTCTCCAGTGAGCACACATGCCCTATAGCAAAAACTGAAGAAATAAAAAAGCCCTGCAATTAAAGTAGGAAATGACCTATGGTATTTAATCTGGAATGTTGGACTTAATTTGTAACTATGATGCCATTAATCTAACAAGGCCGATGTGTTCTTAAATTGAATGTCTACCTTCTTACCTGGAGAATTCCAATGATAAATGTGATGCTGCCTTGTAGGAAATGTCCATTAACAAAAATCCCAAAGGAAAAGCAGCAACCCAGTTTGCCATCAATGATTTCACCAAAAAACCATGGTCCTGAAAGAGGCAATGGACAGAAAAGGAGAAGATAAAGAACTATAACTCTGATATCCTAAGATATGTTTATAAGAATGATGGAGAGATTTCACACTAGTCATCTATAAGCATTTCGCTTCTTAGTTCTTCTCCATGAACTTGATGTTGCACCTCATGTCCTAGCTATCCAACTAGTTGCTCCTCTGCTCATGCTTCTCTGGATTAGAAAATGTTTTGAGTATATGCTATATCAGAAATAGATGCGTAGCCTGCAGATTCCAGAAACAGGCTGCAACACACAAATTTTTGAAGATTCTGTTTAATGACCTCAATACAGTGCAGTAACATTTCCTGTAAGCAACAACGTTATTGTATAGAAGTTAATTTTTGAGGTAACTAAGATTTAAAGCAACCTTTGTACCTTAAAGCAACAAAACTTTGATCATTTTTTGATAGAAATCTTTCTAAACTGCACTTAGGTACATTTATTTCTTATTAATGTAATGAATACATTTTAATATTTTCTCAATGACCCAGAGTCAGTACTTTGTACATCAATGACATTATCAGAGTTCACATATATGGGGTTTAACTTGACTCTTCATTTTTTTTTATCTAGAATGCAATGCTGGCTTTTTTCTTTTATTTATTACTACTTACTGCCCCTTTTTAGTGTGTGGGTATCTGGGACTGCTATATTTCATGGGTAATAAGGGACAGACTTTCCCTCTCAAAATCTATATACCATTATTATTTTCTGATCAGAGTAGGGTTTGGCTTTAAAAAGTCAGCAGTAATTTTCTCACGTTTACATTATATTCCAGATAAACTTCATTAGAGATATGCTAGTCTAAAAAAGTGTTTTCCCTTGGGGCCTGCAGGTGGCATGGTGGTTAAGGCACTAGACTCCCACATGGCTGACCACAGTTTGAATCCTACCTGGTGGCTTGCTTTCTCTCTTCCCACCCCCCGACCAAGTCTGGTGAGTGCATGTGCTATATAACAAATTTTAAAAAATAAATAATAATAAATTAAGTAATTCTTAAGGAAAAAAGTCTTTTCCCTTCGAGCTTCAACTTTTTGAATGGAACAGTTTCTGCCCTTTTAATGTATTTTTTTAAAAGTCCATAAATCGAATCACTTGCTTTGCCTCCAAGTCTGAAGTAAGTGTCAAAACAGCTTCAATCTGTCTTCTAACAGGAAAACTTACCACTACAGGGGATCACCATAGCTTGGCACAAAGAACTGCAAAGTGTCATATTTTTATCTTTTCTTTGGTGTGACTTACCAAAGAGCAAATTCCAAAGGTAGAATAAAAATGTAAAACAAAGATTAAAATTAGGAAACAAATAGGCAAATCTACTACTAATTGACTTTAATCACTAAGGAACAGAAGCAAAAAGCAAAAAAGAGACAGAAGTGACTAAGTGACTTCATGAGTATCAGGTGTAATCATTAGTACAACAGAAGAGCTCAGATACGCCTGAACTTGCTGTTCATGTTAATTTCTCTACTGAGCTAAGTTTTTAAAAGCCACACATTAGTAAACATTCACTGAACTACATACTACGCCAGCTATGCAGGATGTATAAATTATATAACCATTATGCTTAGTGCTGGGCATAGAGATGAACACGATAGAGAAGACATCAACAGATACTCCAATGAGGAAATAGCTAACAAAAACGAGAACCATAAATTCTGATAAAATAATGAAGAAAATCAAAAGTGTGATGAGGACCAAACGATGGCACATCAGTAACACAATGCTGTGTGATGCTGGACCCACAGGGAAAGGTCCCACATTCATGTCCTGAAGCCACCATACACATCAGGTGGGTGTGCACGCCCATGCCTGGCTGAAGCTTGGCGTGGATCATGGTATGAGGATCCTGTGGGGGGCGGGGAGCGGTGTGTGGGTGTCTCTGTATCTCGCTCTGACTTTCTCTCTCTTGTGGAAGAAATAAATGAATAAACTTTTAAAAAGCAAAAACAAGGGGCCGGCAGATGGCATGGTGGTTAAGGGTGCTGGACACTCACATGGCCAACCACAGTTCATGTCCTGGACCTGGAGGCTTGCTTTCTCACTTTCTCTCTCTCTCTCTCTCTCACTCCCCGTCTCTGGTCAAATTAAAATAAATCAATACACTTACATAAAATAATTTTTTTTAAAGTGTGATGAAATAGAGAATAAAGCTGTAAGGGAGTTCAAGAAGGTTGCTCTGAGGAGTGGCAGTTAAGCTAAACTTCTATTAGGTTTCTACACAAATACTGGTTCATTAACAGTCTTCTCAGCACCCTGAAAGTAACTTGGCATTAACTAAACATGTTTGGAAAAAGTTTTATTTCTCAAAATCATATCCCAGAAAATGATTTATGAGGGCTCTGTTGTTATACCTATTGTCAAAATTCTCCATACAGTCTCTGGCAGAATTCTCCACAATCTGATAATTCACTTACCTAGCACTGTATACAGGGTCAGCAACAACATGGAATAATAGAAGATGTTGATTTTGCTCAAGACATGAAGGGAAAATGAGGTCAAATTTATAAATCCAGGAGGTGCTAAACAGAATAAATTGAAAAATCCAGTGAATACATACAAAGTGCAATTTCTTTACCATATTTTCTAAAAGGCCTCATGGGCTACCTACCATATATTCAGCAAATCCTTTGTTATATGATACAGATAACACCACTTTAAACTTGGTAGGAATGCTAGTGAACCAATTCATTTAGAATTACAGAGAAAAAAAATTATAATGGTGTAGTTGTATTTATACACACATATCTGTTCTATATCATAGTATATTGAATTCATGCATATTTTTTAACTAAAAGCAACAGATACACCTGTCAGAAGACTGTGCTATTTTATCTTCATGTAGGTTTGAAAGACAATGTTATGTTCAAAAGATGACCAAGTCTCTGTTTTATGTGGGATTTAGTACCCAAATGTACACATTTCCAAAAGGGATAAATAAACCATAGGAATATTTATACTTTCTTATACATGATATACAACAGTTCTGGACCCAAAGCTAGCTTCTTAGTCCAACTGAAAGGAATCCCTAGAGCTCTAATTAACATGCTCTCAGCACCAGCAGATGGCATAGTGGTTACGTCGCTGGACTCCCACATGGCTGACCGCGATTTAAGTCCCAGACCTGGCAGCTTCAAACTCACACCAGGTGTGTGTGTGTGTCTGTGTGTGTGTGTGTGCCTGCCCAGTCTCCCAAGAGGAGAATGGAGAAGGGTTTACTGCGTGGCTATCCCCCTGAGGGATGATTTCTCGCTTTCTAAAGTATCACGTGGCTTCAGCCCCAGGCAGCCATTTCGCCCATGCATGTGACTGATCATAAACCAGTGAGCAGAAGACTACAAGAAGCTCAGTGCAAAATATTTAAAGGACAGTACCAGTGAAAGACAGCCTGCTGTAAGGTATGTCTTTGTTAATAGGTCAGCATATTCATTTTATAGTATCATTCAGGATGTTGACAGTTAATTTTTTATAAAGCCTGGTAAGGCATGGCCTTTCTCATTTGGTATATCACTCTCTCCACTTCTTTTTTGTTCTAGTCTTGTACTTCTCAAAGTATTAATGTACATATCTAGCTAGAATAATAATTAGTTTTTATTTTAAAAGTTATCCTTAGCCTTAGAGGCAGCTACAATTCAAATTTGAAGGGATGATTCTCTATTTAGCTGGGGAACTTTTAGAAAATACCTGTGCCCAGGTCTCACCCTCCAGAGGTTCTGATTTAATTGGTCTGGTGTAGAGAGGGAACTAGGCAGCACCCCAGTGATTACATTAGACAGTGCCATGCTTCTCAGCCTTGGTATATCAGAAACATCAACTGCTTAGGTCCCACCACAGTGATTCTGATGTAATTGGTCCAGAAGGCTGTCACACATAGAGATGGTCAAAGTTCCTCAGAGGATTCTAAGGTGCAGCCTAGACAAGTGTTATTCAGAGGATAATACTGATTTGGGGTCATAAAAGGTGGGTTTACAGACTTTCCTCTGTCTCTTCCTAGCCGTGAGATTTGGGACAGCCTACATACCTCCTGAAGCCCTTGGTTTTCCAATCTGAAAGCATTTCACAGAGTTCATGCAAAGACAATTTTTATTGCTATCTGCTTAGTAATAGTGCAGAGAGCAGTGATGCTTCAAAACAAAGTCTTCTAAGAATAAAAGAATAAAAGTGCTAACCTTTAAGCACTGGGTGTTTTCTATACCTAAAAGTAATGAGAATGGTGAGCTGGACCAGCACAATCAGCACAAAAAGGACCCGGGCCTGCGGAGAAATAGGTGTTAATGTGAAATAGAAACACGGGCACAAGCTCAGTGAAGGCGTTTAAAATGGTCTCATTAACAAAAATGGGAATAGTATCTGTTATACTGTCATATAAGAAATATATATATTTTTTCTTCACTTCTGACCAGAACTCCTGAAAATTCCTTGTAATATTCTAAGTGATAACAGGGATAGGATCATCTTTTGTTATAATGTTATATAATATTTTATTTTTGTCCCAGCTCTAGAGTGATAATATGAAAGAAGCATTTCTTGTTATCTGGAACAGGCTCCTTTTAACCACACCTGCGTTTACATTAATGAGGTGACTTTTTAAAAGCCCCTTAGAAAGGATGGGCTGGTTGGCAGGGAAATAACCATGTGACTAAAGAGTTGGAAGTTTCAGCCTGAAGGGCATGGACATATTGGGCCCATCCTTCTCCCTTTCCCTATGAATCTCTCCCATATGGCTGTGCCTGAGTTGTATCTTTTTATAATAAACCCGTAATCTAGTAAGTGTTTTCCTGAGTTCTATGAACCATTCTAACAAATTATCAAACATTGTAGGGAGGTATCCTGGGGATCTCCGATAGCTGGTTAGTCAGAGAACAGCTTATATAAAACCTGCATTTAGAAATGGCATCTGAAGTTGGGTGGAGGACTGAGACCTTAACCTGGGTGCCTGGGTGCCTGTGCTGATTCCTGATAGCATCAAAACTTCCAGTGACCACCAACAATTAGAGCTTGATGTGCAAAATCCCGCACATTTGGTGTTGGAAATGTGTGAGTATTCAGAAAAAAGTTCGTTTGTTTTTTTCCTTTAAGCATCATTAGCAAAACACGGCACTATAGAAAAGAATCGAACGTGTGATCTATCAATAAATAAAATAATAAATTTTATTGCCTTAATATTCGTCTTTCTGAATTTAGATACTCATATTCAGATCAATATTGAAGCTAAGTATATACAGTCTATACACTTATATATGCTTTTACAGTTATATTAAGTGATCAAATTAAAATAGTCCATTTTGTTGTACTAAGGATAATTTGTTTGGTTTTATTTAAAGTTGCATAAGAGTAAAAAAAATAAAAACTACACAGTGTACTGCAGGCTGAGTGCACAGAGACTGCATTTTCTTTTGCTTTCTCCATGGAGTAGTCATTCACTTGGAGATGTACTCACAGTAAGGAGACTGTGATCCACACGTTTGCTTCACAAACTATAGTCCTCAGACCATCATTGGATCTCTTGAGTCCATGAGGATTAGAAAATCACAAGCCCTGGGGGCCAGCATGTGGCATGGTGGTTAAAGGCACTAGACTCCCACATGCCTGACCATAGTTCGAGTCCCAGAACTGGCAGCTTGCTTTCTTACTTTCTCTCTGTCTCTTTTTCTCTCTCACTCTGTCCTTCTCTGGTCAAATTAAGTTAAATAAATAAGTAAGTTAAATAGAAAATAGTTCTTAAAAAAAAAAAAAGGAAAGTCTCAAGCCCTACCTCAGATGTATTCTATTAGAATCTGCATGGAGCCGACAGGTGGCATGGAGGTTAAAGGTGCTGGACTCCCACATGGCCGACCACAGTTCAAGTCTCGGACCTGGTGGTTTGCTTTCTCACTTCCTCTCTCTCTCTCTGTCTCTCTCTGATCAAACTGGAAAATAATAATGATAATAATAATAAATAAAGTTAAATAAAAATAATTAAAAAAAAAAAGAATCTGCATTTTCAGGGAACCAGCAGTTAGCGTAATGGCTATTTTGTTGGACTCCCATATAGTCGACTGTGGTTCGCATCCCGGACCCGGTGGCTTAAAACTCACGCTGGGCGCATGTGCATGCATGCCCAAGATCCCGAGAGGAGAATGGAGGAGAAGGGATTGCGGTGTGATCATCCCCCCTGGGGGGTGATTTCTCGCTTTCTGTCTCTATGTCTCTCTATCTGTCTGGCGAGTGCACACACCTAATAGCGAAAACCTCTCCAAAAAATAAAAAAAGAATCTGCATTTTCATAATATCCCCTGGTGATCTAGATATAAGTCAAAGTTCTTAAAGTCTGACATAGGTAACTGCTAAAAAAATCTCCAAAAGTGAATAAATGATAAAAAAAACATAATAATAAGATACAAATGCCCATTAATCATATTTTTTAAAAGTTCAATCATGTCAGGCCTGCAGATAACATGGAGGTTAAGGTGCTGGACTCCCACATGGCCAACTACAGTTTGAGTCCTGGACATGGCAGCTTGCTTTTCTCACTTTCCTTTTCTAGCTCTCTCTGGCCAAATTTTAAAAAATAACAAATAATTTTTAAAATAATTTTTATTTATTAATTTTAATTATTATTTATACATTTAGTCACTATACATTATTTAGATTGTAGAGACTTTACCCAGCATGGCACACACCTCAGTCTAGCCCAGTTAAGAACATACACACGTCCTCATCAACAAATAATAAACCATAATCGGGTCCCACAAATGCCTTACAATTTTTAATGCTTGTATGTCCTCCAGTCTTTCAGTCTCTGCCATAGAGTGCTGACAGTCGGTATATGTTAAGGGGAGACATACAATGTTTCTCTTTCATAGCCTGACTTGCTAATAATAAATAAAATTAAATAAAAATAATTTTTTTTTAATTTTTCTTTTCTTGGAGATATTTTTGCTATAGGGCGTGTGCGCTGGCCAGAAAGACAGAGAGAGACAGATAGACAGAAAGTGAGAAATCACCCCCTGGGGGGATGGCCACACCGCAATCCCTTCTTCACCATTCTCCTCTTGGGATCTTAGGCAAGCATGCACACGCGCCCAGCGTGAGTTTGAGCCACTGGGTCTGGGACTCGAACTGCATCCGACTACAAGGGAGTCCAGCCACATAGCCATTATGCTAATTGCTGGTCCCAATAAAAATAATTCTAAAAAAAAAAGTTCAGTCATGCAAGTAATAAAAGTAAATTAAAATGGAGCCAGGAGATGGCATAGCAGTAATATCACTAGACTCCCACAAGACCAACCATAGTTCAAGTCCTAGATCCAGTGGCTTGAAATTCATGCATTCATGCAAGCGTCCCAGATCCCAGGAGTAGAATAGAGAAAAGAACTGCAGCATAGCCAAATCCCCTGGGGGGGTGATTTCTCACTTTCCCTCTCACTGTCTTTTTCTAAATTTCTAAAAAAAGTAAATTAAAATAATGAATTAATAGGGCCAGCAGATGGTGTAGTCATTACGTTGCTGGAATCTCACATGGACGAACGAGTTCAAGTCCTGGACCTTATGGTTTGAAAATCACACCGGGTACATGTGCATGCATGTCAAGATGCCAGGAGGAAAATAGAGGAGAAGGGATTGTGGTGTGGCCATGCCCCCAGAAGGTGATTTCTCACTTTACCTCTGTCTCTCTTAGGCAAGCGCACACATCCTAAGGGGAAAACCTCTTAAAAAAATAAAATAATGAATTCATAATTTAAGTCTGAAGATATATATTAAGCTATCTCCAGGAGGTGAAATTAAAGGAGGTTTAAATTTTCTTCTCAACATTTTAGTATATATACATTTATGTGTTTATGTTTATATCCAGGATAAGTGAAATTTGAGAGACCAGAGTATAAATTTCCATAGCTTCCGTGGAAGACAATTTAACAGTGTATATTTACAACTGGAAAAAAAAAAAAAAAACCCATTTACTCATTCAGGAAATACTTATTAAGAAGCCAGCCCTGTGACCTAATGGTTATAGGGGCTGAATCCTTCATGGTTGACCGTGGTTTGAATTCCGGTCCAGTGGCTTGCAAAATACATCAGGCACATGTGTATGCATGCCCAAAATAACATTAGGATGAGAAGGGATTGCGGCATGATCATGTCCCACTGTGGGGTACTTTCTTCCTCTCCTTCTCTCTGCCACTGGTGAGTGCATATGCCCTCTGGCAAATTAAAAAACAAAAAAGAAATACTAATTGAGGGCCTACTATGTGCCAGGCACACGAAACAGACAAAGATTCCCTGCCCTTGTGAGGCTTATATTTTAATGAGGAGGGAAAGAAAATACATATTATAAATAATAAATAACTTATGTTTTATATAATAAGTACATAAAATAGTGTGCCCACCCTTTAACCTAACAATTCACTTCCAGAAATTTACTCTAAGAAACTATATTAGAGGGGCAAGTAGGTGGCACAGTGTTTAAAGCACTGGACTCCAACATGGCCAATTGCGGTTTGAGACCCAGACTGGGCTGCTTGCTTTCTCACTTTCTCTCTCTCTCAGTCTCTCTCCGATGAGCATGTGTGCCCTGTAGCAAAGAAAAAGTAATGGGACCATCAGTTAGCGTAATGGCAATGTTGCTGGACTCCCACGTAGTAGACCATGGTTCGAGTCCCGGACCCGGTGGCTTAAACTCACGCCGGGCGCGTGTGCGTGCGTGCCCAAGATCCCAGGAGGAGAATGGAAGAGAAAGGACTGCGGCGTGGCCATCCCCCCTGGGGGGTGATTTCTCGCTTTCTGTCTCTCTGTCTCTCTCTGTCTGTCTGGTGAGCGCACGCGCCCTATAGCAAAAACCTCTCAACAAAACAAAACAAAAAAGCAAAGAAAAAGTAATAATAATAGTAATAAAATAATGGATTCACAATTTAAGTCTGTAAAGATATGTATTAAGCTATCTCCAGGGGGTGAAATTAAGGGAGGTTTAAATTTTCTTCTCAACATATTAGAGATAAATACACTTAGTTACATGCATTATTTATTTATAGAGAGAAAAATTGGAAACAAATGTCTAATAAGGAAATGGTTAAATAAAGTAAGGCATATCTATGATAATTTAATGTAACTAATATCATGTTACAAAATAATATAAATTGCTGTAAGAAATTAGTCAAAACGAGTTCCTTAATGGGGGGAAAAAAATCACACAGCAAAAGAGAGTGGAAGTATAAAACCATTTTAAATTAAAAACTTAGAGACACATATATGTGAAATAACAAGAGTATTATAATGACAAATACAGTAGATAGTATGATAACAAAACATAGGGTTGATTTCATTTTATTTCTAAATTTTCCAAGTTTTCTATGTTGAATATATACTATTTACATTGAAAGAAACATTTCTTTTTTGAGAGATTTTTGTCTTAAGGCATGTGAACTCACTGGAGAGAGAGACAGAGACAATGAGAGGGAAAGTGAGAAATCACCTTCTGGGGGGATGGCCATGCCTCAATCCCTTCTCCTCCATTCTCCTCCTGGGATCCCGGATACACACATACATACATACACACACACACACACACACACACACACACACACCTTGTGTGAGGTGTGATTCTCAAACCACTGGGTCTGGGAATCAAACCACAGTTGGCCATGTAGGAATCCAGTGATATAACTGCTATACCATCTGTTGGCCCCAGAAACATTATTCTTTAAAAACTCTTAAACCAAGTTAGCAAAGTTCCTTAGTTATCCTGGTTGTTTGTGTGTGTGTGTGTGTGTGTGTGTGTGTTTTAAAGAAGTATTTATTTAACTTGATTCATTCATTCATTTATTTTTCATTTGACCAGAGAGAGACACAGAGAGAAGGTGAGCAAGTAAGTCACTTGGTCCAGGACTTGAACCGTGGTTGGCCATGTAGGAGTGTCCAGTGCCTTAACCACCACGCCACCCACTAGTTATCCTGGTTTAATGGCATTGTTTAGAATTAGGTCCCAAGTTACATGTCCATACCTCTGCTGCTTCTTATTCAAAGGAACTTAGAAACATTTTATTCCTCCAGCGAAACAAAATATCTTTAATTTTATAAGGTTCAGATTTCTTGTCACATAATTATATTACTTAGGACATTTCATTTACCAAATCCAGTAAAAATACACATAACATTTCATTGAATTCACTCACCACAGTGCAGTAGTCAGTAAGAAGAATAAATGATGCCATAGGATCAAATGTGAGATGAATATTCTCTTGAACAGAAAAGATGTGGTGAACACTCCTACTTCTTCCAGCAGAATCCTACTTATAAGCATAGCAAATAAATAACTTTCACGCACATTTAAATATATATATATAAAATGCTCTAAATTATACATTTCCCTTACAAGAGTAAGCTTCTAATAACTTTTCTTAGTTATCTCTGAATTGAACCTTTTTTTTTTTTTTGAGAGGTTTTCGCTATAGGGCGCGTGTGCTCGCCAGACAGAGAGAGACATAGACAGAAAGCGAGAAATCACCCCCAGGGGGGATGGTCACGCCGCAATCCCTTCTCCTCCATTCTCCTCTCGGGATCTTGGGTATGTACGCACACGCGCCCGGCGTGAGTTCCAAGCCACCGGGTCTGGGACACAAACCGCAGTCGACTACGTGGGAATCTAGCAACATAGCCATTACGCTAACTGCTGGTTCCCATGCATTGAACCTTTTTTTCATTTACTTTGATTCTCCCTATAAGTCCTTTTTTCCTTTAATTTGCCAGAGGGCATGTGCACTTGCTGGAGAGAAACACAGACAGCGAGCAAAAGCGAGAAAGCACTTCCTTAGGGCATGGTCATGCCACAATCCCTTCTCCTCCATTTCTCCCACCTTTCGAGATTTTTGGGCAAGCATGTTAAAGTGCCCAGCGTGCTTCTTTCAAGCTGCCAGATCTAGGACTTGAACAGTGCAGTCAGATATGTGGGATCCAGTTGCCTTAACCACCAGGCCACAGGCTAGCCCTATAAATCCTTTTAACAACACTATCTTGTCATTCTCAACTTGAACTATTAGGTCCATTGGGAAAGTCATAATGTACTTTCCTATGTTTTTCTATCCAAAAATGTATCATGACTTCTAACGACCCAACAGAAATATCAGTATGTAGTTATAATGTCTTCTCTCTCTTTTTTTTTCTTAGAATTATTTTATTTAACTTTATATATTCTATTCTATTAATTAATTAATTCATTCATTCATTCATTTATTTCAATTTAACCAGAGGGGAACAGAGAGAGAGAAAATGAGAAAGCAAGCTGCCAGATTCAGTATATATATATATATATTTCCTTGTGTGCAGAGAAAAGGCATAGAAATAATAGCTGACCAGGACTGATCCTCAAGATCAAAACCAGTGTGGTAAAGTAATTGGTCAAAGAAAAAGTAATGTATGGGCCCAGGAGATGGTGTAATGGTTATGTCACTGGACTCCCACAGTCAACTACAGTTCAAATCCCAGACCCGACAGCTTCAAAACCGTGACAGGCACAAGTGTGTTCGTGTCCAAAATCCCAAGAGGAGAATGGAGGAGAAAGTTTTGAGGAGTGGCCATCCCCTCGAGGGGTGATTTCTTTCTTTCTGTCTCTTGTGTCTCTGTCTCTCTGGCAAGCACACATAACCTATAGCAAAAATCTCTCTTAAGAAAAAAAAAAGATGGAGCAAGTAGATGGCATGGTGGTTGAGGTGCTGGACTCCCACATGGCTGACCACAGTTAAGAGTCCCGGATTTGGAGGCTTGCTTTCTCACTTCTCCTCTTTCTCTCTCTGTCTCTCTGTATCTCTCTGGTCAAATTAAAGAGATAATAAAAATGAATAGAATAAAATAAATAAATAATTCTTTAAGTCAAAAAAGAAAAAGTGATATATAAAAAGAAGTAAAACAAAACGATTAAAAAAAATGAACGTTGAAGATGGTGAAGAGGGAGGGTACACGGAAAGAAATTAAGGAGAAAAATAGAGAGGCAAGACATTTATGGGATGTAAAAATGAATTATTATCAGTTGGTGATAATGTGTTTAGTATCCTGAACTGGACTATTGTGAAGTATATTCATGTTGCGTAAATTCACTTTACAAGCTAAGTGATGTATACTGATTGAATGTATAAAATAAATTTAAATTAATTTATTTTAAATTAATTTAATTTAAAAAAGCAAGCAGAGATCCTACAAGAGTCCCAGATGTTGATCCCAGGTTACCAGCACAGGTTGGAAGCTACATATACGGATCTTCAGCAGATATTAGAAAATGAAAAATAGGGACCAGCAAATGGTTTAATGGCTACACTGCTGGACTCTCACATAGTTTACTGAGGTTCAAGTCCTGGACCTGGTTTACAACTCACATCAGGCGCGTGTGCACATGTGCCCAAATCTTGAGAGGAGAATGGAGAAGGGATTGTGGTGTGGCTATCCCCACTCGGGAGTGATTTCTTGCTTTCTGTCTCTCTGGCGAGCGCATGTTCCCCATAGCAAAAATCTTTCTCTCAAAAAAAAAAAAAAAGATTGGGAACCAACAGTTAGCGTAATGGCTATGTTGCTGGACTCCCACGTAGTCAACTGTGGTTCACGTCCCAGACCCGGTGGCTTAAAACTCACACCAGGCGCATGTGTGTGTATGCCCAAGATCTCGAGAGGAGAATGGAGGAGAAGGGATTGCAGTGTGACCATCCCCCCTGGGGGGTGATTTCTCGCTTTCTGTCTCTATGTCTCTCTCTGTCTGTCTGGCGAGCGCACACGCTCTATAGCAAAAAAACCTCTCAAAAAAAAAAGATTTAGAAGAAGATGAAGAATATTAAGAAGTATATTCAGTACTGGATCCAGTGAAGTTAGAAGCCTGAAACTTTTTTGGAGAGGGTGTTTTTTGCATTGAATCGTGGCGTCCATTCTACAATTCATTATTTTGACCACTGCTGCGTGTTCGAGTAGTATGAGAATATGATTCTTTTATAACATTCAAATATTTTCTTTTGCATATTTAGGGTATAAAAATATTAGTTTGTCTAAAAAAAGTAGAGTTTATAGTATGTAAATTATATTTCAATAATATTGTAAACATTTTGTAAAGATACAAAAATGATATGATTTCACATTTTTACGAAGGACTCAAGCAGACAGAAAGAACATGAGCTATAGTTTTCCTTCATAAAACTACAGGAGATATTTATCTTAAGAAAGTAATATTTTGGGGTTCTGAAGCAATTCAAGGATCTGGAAGTTCACCATTCCTATGGACAGTGGGCAGAACACTTTAAAGATGAGTGTCTTAGCAAAGCGCCACCTTTTTAAAATTTATTTTTTTAAAAAATTTATCATATGGCCCGTGCACCTACTGGAGACAGAAAGAGAAAGGGAAAGTGAGGAAGCAACCAGGGAAGATGGCCATGCCACAATTCCTTCTCCTCCATTTATCCTCTTGGAACTTTGGACAGCCATGCACAAACACCCAGTGTTTTTCAAGTTGCTAGGTCCAGGGCCCAAACCACACAGTTGGTCATGTGGGAAACAGCTGCCTTGACCAATACGCTATTGGTTGGTCATAAAGTACCTTCTCTTATGCAGATATAAGTTTCTCCATCTATGAAATTAGGCTTAAACTACCCACCACATGGGATTGTTACATGATTATGGAAGAAAAAAATTTCTTCCATCTCCTTAGGAAAAGCTCAGAAATAGTTCCTCCCCAGTTAATCTATCACCGGGATGAAAAATGATAATGAAAATAATTACATGTGCTTTCTGAAGGATTATTTGGCATTTCAAATTGAGACTTAACATTATCAAATAGTTAAAAATTGTCATCAAATCAGTTGTAGAAATTGAGAGGTTTTGGGGCTGGCAGGTGGTGTGGTGGATAGAGGCTCTGGATTCCCATATGGCCGAGTCCTGGACCTGGCGGCTTGCTTTCTCACTCCCCCCCGCCCCTCTCTCTTTCTCTCTCTATGTCTCTGGTCAAATTAAAATTAATAATAACAAATGGAATTAAATAAATAAATTATTTTAAAAAAAATAGAAAGAAAGAAATGGATAGGTTTTGGGGCCAACAGGTGGGGTGGTGATTAAGTCACTGGATTTCCACATGGCTGACATGATTTGAGTCCTAGACTTGGAGCCTTGCTTTCTCACTTTCCCTCTCTCCTTTTCTTGCTGGTGAACACATGTGCCATATACCATATTGAAATTAATTAATTAATTCTTAAAAAAATAAACTGATAGGTTTTGGTTTTTTATTTTTATTTTTTTAAAGAAACTAATTTCTGAGCTATTCTTTCAGAGGATAAATTCTAAAACTGCTTTATTTTGGTAATAACCATTACTTTCTATCCTGGCAGGTGCTAATGAATGAAATGCCCCAAGTTGAATCAGAATGACAGACAGGGCCAGTGTCACAGTGATAACATAATACTCTGTGAGGCTGACCCACACAGGAGGGTTTTGTGTTCACTTTTGGAGACCTCATTGAACTCACCAGGCACACACATGCCCACAATCTGGAACCAGCTGAAGCCAGGGGTGGACTGCAGAATGAAGATCCTGTTGCGGGTGTAGTTTTTTTGTCTCTCTTGCTCATTAAAGCAAGAAATTTCAGAGAAGAAAATGGAGGACGGCCAGATTCTTAGTGTATATGCTAACAATGCATACATGCCAAACAAAAAAGTTCCTTGCTGCCTTGAAAATTTGTGTCCTTGAGTTTTCAAATAGTGATATAAGTTTCATACACTTAAGAGACAGAAATCAAAGGAATGGATACATAAACACATGTGTTCTGAACCATTCTATTGTCTTTTGGTGTAATGAGAAATTTGCCCCATTATTAAAAGACTCTAACCAAAGTTGGTAGAAAACAAGAGAACAATTCCCAGGGGTTAAAATAAAAATAGGCAGACTATGGCTGGCAGAAGCACATTTCTTTTCTTCTCTGTTCAGTGGTTACTCTAACAGAATTATTCCAGATATACTAAGTATATCAAGTGTATTCAAATTTTTTAAATTAAACTTAGTTTACAAAATGACTAAAAAAATCTTGCAGCTATAGCTTGCAATTATTTACATTAGCAAACTGAAAATACTAACTTACCTGGACAATTACTTCTATTTTATGAGTCCCATTAGTATAGTTCCTGGGGTTCCACTTCAGTATGAAAATAGGACCAGACAAATGAAGAGCCTGGCCTAAATTGACTCCATCAATCTTAACTGCGACAGAAGTAATGGAGGATAAAGAAAAAGCCAAGATTCTAAAACAAGAACATATATAAAATGCATAGTTTTAAGTAACTGTCATTGTTTTTGTAAGAAAGAATAACCCTATTATAACTTGAAAATACATAAGTGTTGACAGAACCATCTCATTATTCAATCACAAGGACCACCAGTCATATCATCTAGTTTCTTTCTGAATGGTGTCTTTCAGAGTTGCACAATTCAGCAAACCTGAATTGGTGGGAAATTAGAAACCACTGATGTATATTGTAAAATTTTTAAAGAAGAATACAGAAAAATATGTACGTTATAATTATAGCAATGTAAAAATATGCAAAGGAAAAGGCTAGAATAAAGTACACAAAAATAATAATGATAGAATTATGAGTTTCTTTTTTGTTTGGTTAAGAATTATTTTTCATGGAGCTGGCAAGTGGTGGTAGTTAAGGTGCTAGACTCCCACATTATCAACCACAGTTCATGTCCTGGAATTGGCGCTTGCTTTTTCACTTTCCCGATCTTTCTCTCTGTCTCTCTCTGGTCTACAAAACTGCTACTAATAATAAATAAAGTTAAATTAAATAATTTTTTTAAAAGATAATTATTTTTAACTTAACTTTATTCATCATCATTATTATTTTAATTTGACCAGAGAGAAACAGAGACAGAGAGAGAGAGAGAGGGAAAGTAAGAAAGCAAGCCATCAGGTCCAGGACTTGAACCATGGTCAGCCATGTGTGGGAGTCCAGTGCACTTAACCACCATACCACCTGCTAGCCCCTAGAATTATGAGTTCCTAGATAATGTTTAAAATTTCATTAGCTTAAAAAGATCTTTTCAAGGGACCAGCACTTGGTGTAATGGCTATGTCGCTGGACTCCCATGTAGTCAACTGTGGTTCGAATCCTGGACCCGGTGGCTTAAACTCACACTGGGTGCATGTGCATGCATGCGTGCCCAATATTCTGAGAGGAGAATGGAGGAAAAGGTTACAGCGTGGCCATCCTCCCTGGGGGGAGTGATTTCTCACTTTCTGTCTCTCTGTCTTTCTGGCCAGTACACATGCCCTATAGCAAAAACCTCTCCAAAAAAAAAAAAAGATCTTTTCAAGAAAGAATCAAGGGAAGTGTACAAAAGGGTAGTATAAAAACATTTTAATCAGCTTAAAATATGTCATTTTGAGGCTAGCAGGTGGCATGGAGGTTAAAGAAGCAGGATACCACATAGCCTACTTCATGGTTCAAGAGAATTAAGTGGCCTGAAAATCACACCAGGTGCACGTACATGCATACCCAAAGTCCCAGGAGGAGAATGGGGCACACCACAGTGTGGCCCATCCCCCTTTGGGGATGATTTCTCACTCTCTCTCCAACAACCACATGTACCCTATAACAAACTAAGAAAAAAAAAAAAAGAAAGTACATATTTTTTACCAAAAAAAAAAAAAAAAGAAAGTATATATTTTTTACCTGAAGATGAAGAAAAAGTTCAATACAAGATACAACAATATATCTTTTTATCATGTTTAGGTTATTGCAAAAAGTAAAGCAGAGCAGCTCACAGCTTAACACGTGGGAATGCAATCATAATTTTCTATCAATATGAAACTGACAAAATTCTGAAAAATTGCCACATACCTGATGTGTGTTGAGTGAAGGAGTCTTTCTAGTGGTTCATGTTTAGCACAACTATAGAGGAGAGATTTAGGATTGGTGATAAGAACCACAGGCCATTTGCCAAAACTCAAATCTGCAAAGCTGAAGAGGTCATGATCGAAAGCAAAGATCCGGTACCTAGAGACCAGAAAATAATAAGGTAATTGACTCACTTCACATTATAAGAAGACATGAAGATAACATACAGAACAAATGCAAAAATACAAAACTGGGGTGTTTTTACATGATGAATTTGAACACAGAGTAAATAACATTGCTTTTATTCCTTCCTTTATCCCTCCTACTTTAGCCTTCATATTTGTCATATCAACTGGGCTCTGACTGAGGTGATAAAATTAACAGTGCCCCAGAACGATAGATGATATGAAGCATGCACTCTTTAATACTTAAATAAATACTTATTGAATTAATTCATTTTATTTCTATAGTTTAAAGACCATTTTGAATCTAAGACATTCATTATAAGTCTGGTATTCATCCCACCAACAATGCTACATAAAATATTAAAATAGTTGATATGAACATGATTAGAAACTTTCCATACTTCTTTTAAACCTTTATTTCTATAATTTCAAAGACGTTAAAGTTGTTTTGATTTTCTAAATACACGATTGAAAGTATAAAATACTCAAGAGTAACCAACGTTTTATTTTTTCTAAATTGTAGAACTGAGAAATGAAATGATTAACTATGGCAGACACAATAGTGGTCACCAAATACTCTATACGGTCCCTGGCATTTCCCAGTCTCCCTGGTATTAGATTGGGACCCTGTGACTACTTCTGGCCACTGGGTTGTGAACAGAAGTGACATGTATAACACTTCTGATTCAAAGTACTTAAACGTAGATAGGAATTTTCTGTTGTTTTTTTCCCTGCCTTGGAACTGACATGTTGAAATAGTGACATTATAAAAGGAAAGTCTGAATCCCTAAGGTACCCTATAGAGGAGAATTGCTCTGACCCATACTAGATTTGTAAGCATGAAAAGTAAACATTTAGGGCCAGCAGGTGTGTGGTGGTTGAGGTGCTGGACTCCCACATGGTCAACCATAGTTCAAGTCCTGGAACTGGTGGCTTGCTTTCTTGCTTCCTCTCTCTCTGTCTTTCGCTGGAATGCCCATGCCCTATATCAAATTTAAAAATAATAATAAGTAGGGGCCAGCAGGTGGCGCACTGGTTAAGGGCACTGGACTCCCACAAGGCCAACCACGGTTCAAGTCCCAGATCTGGTGGCTTGCTTTCTTACTTTCTCTCTCAGTCCCTCTCTGGCCAAATTAAAATAAGTAAATAAATAAATAAAGTTAAATAAAATAATTCTTTAAAAAATAAATGAATAATTCTTCTTTTTAATTAAAAATAAATATTTCTTGTGTTAAAACACTGATATTTCTGGATTTATTTGCATCCACAACAAGGACTAACCTAATATTACTAATAAACTACCTTTAAAAAGAAATTCTTCTGTTGTATAATTAATACAATTTAAACATTTCTTTTTCTTTCTTTTTTTAAAGAGAGGTTTTTGCTCTAGGGCATGTATGCTCACTGGAGAGACAAAGAGAGACTGAGAGACAGAAAGCCAGAAATCACCCCTTGGGGGATGGCCATTCCACAATCCCTTCTCCTCCATTCCCCTCTCAGGATTTTAGGCACCATGCACTTATGTCCCACGTGAGCCTTTTTAATCTACCAGTTCTGGGACTCGAACTGTGGTTCACTATGTGGGAGTCCAGTGATGTAATCATTATGCCATCCACTGGTCCCACAAGTTAAACCTCTCTAAGGGCAGGTAAAGGTTAGATCCTTTCAGTAAAACCTCAGAATTGAACACCAAAATGTTGGTGGGGAGAAAAAGAAAGGAAATGGTTTTGCAAGCAACATCACAGCTTATAACCATAACATTTAGATGAGGAAAATAAACTGACCAAGGGTTAGGGAAATTACCTGGCAAAAGGCAATAACAGTACAGCCCACAGCCTTAGTCATGAACAGGCAGGTCTTAACTCTAAGTAATTATAGCTGCCACCTAATTACAAGCTACATGTGTACTTCTTGCATAGTTTTTATTGTAGAAAAGTCAACTGGAATGAGGAAATACTTTCCAAGATGAAAAGCTGCTTAATTCATGGAAATAGTTCAAAATAGAAAGGTAGCATATTTAGCTCAACAAATAAACATGTGTAAGTAATATCTTCAGAGCATGGGGTTTGAATAAATACCAGTAATAGTTAAAACAATGAGACGACATTCCTCTATACCAGTTGAGTATACCTTATCCAAAATATTTGGGATCTGAAGTATCTTGGATTTTGGATTTTTTTTTTTTTTTTTAAGCATATGAATCTTGGACCGTAAACCAAAACAACACAATTGAAATCTCAAGAGGCAGGGCACAGAAATTTTTATTTTTAATAAACTCTTCTATAATTCTTATGCACATGAGAATTTGAGACTATTTCCTAATGGAGGCATCTTGAAAATCAAACATAATACATGTTAATACATGTTACTTTTAAAAAAATAGAAATATCACAAGTTTTTCCATAACTGGGATCACCCATGAAATTGATAAAAATGTATCATTGTTTTAGCAAAACTTATGTGCATACATTTTATTTTGGGGGGTAGCTGTCTTACCTTCTATTATCCTTCCAATCTCCCACCTCAAGTTCCAAAGTGCCCTGGTTGTGACGAGTGTGCAAAACAGGCATCAGCCCACCGAGCGTATGAAGGTGTCCGCACAAGTAAGCTATAGCTGAACTAACCAATGAAACATAAATAGAATAAATGAACAAAGAAAATTTGTGATGCCAAATTAATAAAAATAATCTCTTTAGGAAAGCCATATATAGATACAACAACAAGAAAGAACTAAAAAGGCCACAGTGGTGCAGGTGATAGGGCACTATTGCATGATACTGGAGCCACATGGGAACGCCCAGGCTCCCTGACTGGTCTAAACACACTGGGTGTGCCTGCAGCACACAGATAGGAAGAGGACTGTGGTGTGGCAAGACCTTGTGAAGGGGCCCCGTCTCTCTTTCTCATAAAATAAATTAATTGATTAAATTGAAAACAAATAGAACTGAAAACAGTTCATTTTGATTTTGGAAGCCTGTCTCACCTCATTATTGATCGGATTCCTGGTGATGGAGAAATGACAGTGGATGTTGTAAAGTGTCCAAACCAAATTGTATGGTTGCTCTGTCTACTTTCTTTGGCCAGTACTAAGAGCTCCTCCATCTGTTTCTGAAAGGAGAAAAAAAAAAAAGTAAGGATCTTTAATTAAGTCTCAGGTTGAAATCTAGTATCAACAGATTAAACAATTTCCCTGAAGTTTTTTTTTAAGAATTAGTTATTATTTAAATTTATTTATTTGTTTGTTTGTTTGTTTGTTTGAATTTGTCCAGAGAGGTACAGAGAGAGAGAAAGGGAAAGTGAGGAAGCAAGCCACCAGGTCTGGGGCTTGAACAGCAGTGGGCCATGTGGGAGTACAGCACCCCCAACCACCACGTCACCTGCTGGCCCCTCCCCTAAAGTTTTATAGTGATAATTATATTGTGTCTAAGGCTTAATTCTACTTTTTAACCTATATAGACTTCTGTTAAACTTCACACAGTTTTCATGATACGTTATAATTAATTTGATCCTACAAATGCCTCTGTGATGAGTAGTACAATTATTAATCCCCATTTGATGAATAAAGAAACAGAAATAATGGAGGCATCACTAAACTTTTCAGCTTTATATACCACATCACAATTTAAAAAGACACTGAAACTAAATTTCTAAGATAATGTATACGCATGTCCATAGACTTGTATCTAAATGTTTATAATAGCTCTCATTAATAATCAAAAATGAGAAACCATTAACAATGGAATACTACTCACAAATACTGCTGATACACATGACCATGTGAATGAATCTTAGAAATGTTATACTGAGCAAGTGAACCCATACCCATAAGTATATACTGTATGATTTCCTTTATATAAAATTTTAGAATAAGCAAAACTAATCTACCCTGACAGGAAACAAATCAGAGATTCCCTATGGTTTGAAGAAGGACTATACAAGAAAACTTTCTAGGGTGCTGGCGATGTTCCACATTTTGACTGTGGTAAGTTATACTAGTATATACGTTTGTCAAAATTCTACAAACACTTAAAATCAGTGTATTTTACTGTATGAAAATCATGCCTCATAACTTGATTTCAAAAAGCAATTTGGGGCCAGCAGATGGTACAGTGGCTAAGGTGCTGGACTCTCACAGGGTCAACTGTAGTCCAATCCTGGAGCTGGTGGCTTGTTTCTCACTTTCCCTTTTTCTCTCTCTCTCATTTCCCTCTAATCAAATTTTAAAATAGTAAAATTAAATTAAATTAAAGAAATAAGCTTTTTAAAAGTTAATATTGGGAACCAGCAGTTAGCGTAATGGCTATGTCGCTGGACTCCCATGTAGTCGACCGCGGTTCGCGTCCCGGACCCGGTGGCTTAACTCATGCCAGGCGTGTGTGCATGCGTGCCCAAGATCCCGAGAAGAGAATGGAGGAGAAGGGATTGCGGCATGACCATCCCCCCTGGGGGGTGATTTCTCGCTTTCTGTCTCTCTGTCTCTGTCTGTCTGGCGAGCACACGCGCCCTATAGTGAAAACCTCTCAAATAAATAAATAAATAAATAAATAAATAAAATAAAAGTTAATATTATTTATAAAGTGCTTATAGCAATGAATTTCTGGTCCTTACCCTCAGAGTTTCTGATTCGGTTAAGTCTGAGTAAAGCCAGGGAATCTGGTTTATAACACTCTAGTTGATCTTCATGCATATGATCCTTGAATTATACCTTTAAAAACACCATTCTAGGGACCAGCAGTTAGCATAATGGCTATGTTGCTGGACTCCCATGTAGTCAACCGTGATCCGAGTCCTGGACCGGTGGCTTAAACTCACACCGGGCCTATGTACATGCGTGCCCAAGATCTCAAAAAAAAAAACAAAAAAAAAAACACCATTCTAAGGAATAGGACTTAAAGTAATCAACCCTGATTAAAGACATTGGTAAATAGGAAGCAAAATATACGTAATTAAATAACTGCAATGTATTTGACAATATTCTGCTTACTTGATTTCAACTTGAACCTCATATAATAAACTTCTTTTAGCACTTAGACC